TGCGGCCGCCGGCGGTAGGTGCGGGCTGGGGCCGGGCCGGGGCTCGCGGCCGGGCCCCGCCGCCTTCAGCCGCCTCTTCCCGCAGGAGCGGCGCGGAGGAGCCGGGGAGCAGCCCCGGGCCCGCGGCGGAGCAGCACGGAGCCGCCTTTGCCTGCCCCACGCCGGGGCTGCCCCACGAGGGCACCTCGCAGAGCAGCGAGGGYCCGGGCTGGGCCCCCCAGGACACTAAGGTGCTGGACGAGGCTGAGACTGTTAATTAAAGGTGGAAGGTCGGGGCTGGGTGAAGCTCTGCTGCACCCCAGGCACCCAGAGCCCTGTGCCAGCCCTGACCCGGGCTCAGCGCCCTGCTCCCAGGGAGAGGGGCAGGAGGCGAGCAGAAGAGCAGCTCTGTTATTCAGAGGGTCGCATGGTTTAAATACATTACATACATTTCTACAGTGCATTGGAACGATACATTTCGGGTCAGATGGAGGTGCAGCCCGGCCAGGCCCAGGGGGCTTCTTCCCCCCACCCCATGCTTGTAGCATCCCCCACCCCAGCCCTGAGCCCCTGCACCTCCCCTGAGACCACCGAGCTGCCCTCCCGCTCGGGCCCAAGCAGCAGCGCCCCAGCCGGCCCCAACCCCCAGCACAGGCACCCAGGCCCTCCACGGCCCCTGCGGCAGGGAAAGCCGCAGCTCCAGGCAAGCGGATGCAGGCAGCAGCCCGGGCAGCAGCTTAGAGAGCAGCTCAGCAGCTCCCCTGCTTGCGCGAAGCCCCGGGGAGCGTCAGCGCTGCRACAGGGAGCCCAAGAGCCCCTCATGCTCCTGGAGCGGTGCCTCTGCTGCGGCTCCCGCTCCCCACCCACGAAGAGCAGCTCCAGCCCCTGCTATGCTCAAGGGCACCGAGAKTGAGATGAGGCCGGGGCTGCGGCAGCCACGGAGCTGGCAGGGAGCGGCGGGGGGGAAGCCAAGCGAGAGGAGCCACAGGACAGGCCTGGGAGCAGGGACAGGACCGGCCAGCGCGGGGCTGCTTGCCCATGTCCTGCCCGGGCCAGGCGAGCTCCTGGGGGCTAGGGCACTGCCCAGAGCGGCCCGCTCCTCAGCAGGACCAGCAAGCACCTCGTCCCCCTCGTGTCCCCCTGCAGCCCAGGACCAGGCAGCCCTCGTCCCGCTCCCCAGCCCCAGCCAGAGAACAGCCGTTCATGACGGTCCCCACCGCCCACGGCGGGCAGGGACTCCCCTGAGGAAAGCAGCGTGCACGGGGTGGGGGCAGAGGAGAGGGCCAAGCAGAGCACCCTTRGAGCGGGCAGTGCAGGGACACCCCTCCCCAGCCATCCCGGCSTGGGAGCTGGCAGCAGGCAGAGCAGGGAAGAGGAGGACGGGCAGCGGGCACAAAAGGCAGGACGGATCCCGGATGCTCCCAGGGCAAGCGGCCATGCTCGGAACTGCACGCGGACCCGGGGCCCATTGCACCGGGGCCTGCAGCCGCTCTCTGCCCCTGCCCGGGGCCGTGCCCGGCCAGCCTCGCTGCTCCACGGGTGCTCCGGCCCCGGCGCTCGCCCCTCGCGGCCGGCGCGGCCTGGCCGTGGCAGCAGCAGGCGGCCGGCTCCTCGCGGAGCGCTAGTCCGAGCCCTCGGCTCCCAGCTACCACCAAGAGAAGAAGGGCTTGCGGCTCTGGAAGCTCTGCGTGTAGGACTCGCTGGCCGTGCGCTGGTGGGAACGCGCCGTCTCCACGATCACGGGCGGCATCTGCACGAGGTGCAGGGGGCTCTTCCCGTCTTTCAGCGCTTGAGTTAGGTTCAGGATCTGCACAACAGAGGGAAGCCCGGGCTGCCTCTCTGAGGTGACAGAGGGCAAAGCAGCAGCAAGCTGCCCCCTCAACACCCTTTTCAGGCACACAGACAAGGCTCCATGGCCTCGCTCATCTGCCTCCCCGGACACACAGCTTACCTGGCCTCTCATGACAGCAATCTGCTTGTGAAACTGCCCCCTGTCAAAGCCTGGGTCTTTCTGCAAGAGATAGCAATGAACGGTGGGATCCTCCCTCTGCCACATACCTTTTAAGAGAGGTCTGTTCTCTTCTGCCCCATGGGCTTCTTGCTTCTCCCCACACTCTATTTTCAGCTCATGGCAGAGAGATAACCCAGGCAACTTAAAAGGAACCTGGATGCCTCTCTGTCCCACAGCCTTTAGAGGGAGCTCCTCAACACGACCCTTGCTCCTCCTCCTTCCAAGCCAACCWCACCCGATCTCAGCTCACCTTGAAAAGCTCATACAGGTCTTCCTCCAGGTCCTTGACAAAGTTGGGGTCTGAAATCTTGGGAAGAATCAGGTCCTTTATCTCTTGTGAAAAGGGAATTTTGGCCTGGGGTAGCCATGCCCAGTAGAAAGGATCTGCAGAAGGAAGCAGAATACGCTAGAGCCCGGTACAGCCCAGTAAGATGAAGGCACCTTGTGTTCCTGGTGCCAAATAATTTGCCTGGGGCTCAGGGCCCAGCACCCATCTCCTACTACAGCCCCTACTGTATGAACACCCAGCACCCAAAAGGTTTGTGGAGGGTCGCCCCAGCCACCTCCCCTCTGCAGACCTTCACATGCCCCATGGCCACACAGTGCAGAGCTGAGCGGCACCCCAGGGTGCCTGAGCACAGCCCAAGGGACTCACATGCTCTCCAGGAGTCTGGGTGTTTCAGGGGAAAAGCCAAACCGTTGTCTATAGCTGCCAGCTTGATAATGGGCTCTTTCACCACCACCCAGTCGCTGTCCTGGAAGAAAGAGGAACACAGGTCRCAAGAGAGACCCCAACAGGGACAGTCCCCCTCCTGCACCCCCCAGCTCTGCTGCCAGGCTCTTAGACCCCATTGGCACAGGCATGGCAGCCTCCCACCCACAGCACATGGACAGATGCAAGGGCAGCTGCTGCCTCCTCCATGTGGGGAGCAGCCTCAAGGCAGGATGCAGTAAGCAACACACGAGCTCCAGCTTCTCCCACAGACCCCAGCTGCAGCCCCACCGACCCTCACTAGCCACAAGGCACCAGCACAGAGGGCCCAAGAGGCCACACCAGGCCTCCACGTGCTCCTAAGCCCAAGCTGGATGGCAAATGCCCTGCCTGTTTGCCGGGCTGCAAGCAGCAGACGAGCCCTGCGAGCCGCTGCCCAGGAAGGGCCACTCACCCGCACGCCCGCGCTGTCCAAGGGACAGTCGTACTTGATGAGCCAGTTGTCATTGCCTCGATCTGCACGGAGAGAGAACCGGGCACGTGAGCACGGGGGCYGCCTGCTCCAGCCCCAGCCCTTCCAGGCCAGGATGGGCTGAGGAGGCCCCAGCGCGAGCTGAAGCCCTGCAGCACAGGCAGCGGCTTTGTGCAGGGTCCCTGGGTGACCTGGGACTCAGGAAGCTGGCAAACCTCCGCCCCAGCACCGGGGTGGATCCCAGGCTGGCCTCCAGGCCTCCCAGAATAGAGGCCAGCAGCCAGAGCGTGGCCATGCCCATGGGTAGCCACAGGATCTGTGCTCCATCCCGGAGCAGCTGCCATTTGGCAGCATCCAAGTGCTGTTGATGGGAATTCAGGTGCCGGGCAGAGCTGCCAAGCTCCTGCCCACATCCCTTCCCTCCCGCGGGCGGGAGGGCAGGCAGCGGCCCTACCTGTGTTCCGGATGATGTAGTCGAGCACCACCAGGCGCTCGAACTGCAGCAGCAGCTGCCGGTTGGTGTTCTCGG